GAGGTTGCGGTGAGCCGAGATCGCGCCATTGCACTCCAGCCTGGGTAACAAGAGCGAAACTCCGTCTCAAAAAAAAAAAATAAATAAAAAATAAAGGCATAAACACAAAAAGGCCAAGGGAACAAAATTCCTGATGGAGAGTATACTGAATCCATGTGAAATTCTTTCCACCCTTCATTCTGTTTCCCAGTATTCTGCCAGTCATTTCTCTGCAATAATCAGAATTGGTTCAATCCATTTTTCTATGCTCAACAAATTAAAATTAGGCTATTAGTTAATTGTATGAAATATTGATTTTTCTGAAATTGTGACATACAGTGTCTGTGGATTCAACAAACCACAGATAGAAAACTTTCAAAAATCATTGTTTCTGTACTGAACTACTGTGATTTTGTCATTATTCCCTAAACAATACAGTATAACAATTATTTACAGCGTATTAGGTTTTGTAAGTAATCTAGAGATGACTTAACATAGACAGGAGGATATGCACAGGTTATATGCAAATACTTAACCATTTTATATCAGAGATTTCAGCAACCTTGGATTTTGGTATTCATGGGAGGTACTAAAATAAATCCTCCACAAGTATCAAGGGATGACTCTAGTTGCTTTAGAGTAGAAAAGAAACCAGCATCATCTTACACATCATTTCATATGCAGAATATTTTATCCAATTCCCATCCCTACCGTCATTTCTTTCCATCTTCTATGCTGAGACTTATCCTTCAGGATAAATAGCTCACTGTCATTAATTTAAAGCCCTTCAACATTTCCTTTGCTGAAACAGCATGGAGCAGATTTTCAAATGACTGGAACCCTTTCTACATCTTCAGTATCATCTCTCAAACTCATACTTGACACACTAAGCATACTTAACTATCTCTGGCTCACGTATTTTCATACCAGTCCCTGTGCTTGCAAATACCATTTCCAAGTCTCCCACATCTCATACTCTTTTTCTTGCCACCTGTCCAGAAAGAATCTGTTCCCTAATTGTTGTCCCTTTATATCACCTCTTAAGATTTTTATTGTGACATCTCATACCTGTGTCTCCATATCTATGACTAACTCAGTGCCCAACAGATGTTTACTGAAAAAGTTCTCTCCACTATTCTTACTCCCTTGAAAAGAGCAGAGAAGTTAACTGATGAACTTAGAGCTCAGTTGAAAGGTATTCTGCATAGTCTGAAAGCAAAGTGTTTCATAATATAATTTAAGTGAGAACCTTAAGAATAACAATGTCAGGCTGGACAGCATGGTTAAGACCCTGTCTCTACAAAAAAAATTTTTTTTAATTGGCCAGGCATGTGGCCCATGCCTGTGGTCCCAGCTACTTGAGAGGCTGAGGGAGGAGCTTCACTTGAGCCAGGATGTCAAGGCTGCAGTGAGCCATGATGGCACCACTGCACTCCAGCTTGGTGACAGAGCAAGACTGTCTCAAAAAGCAAAACAAAACATAAAAGGCTAACATTGCCAATAGAATAAAACTCAGGTTTTTGTTAATATATCTTAGTAATTAAGTATGACTCATGATAAACAACTCAAAGGTAGGACTACAGCTAAGCACTCAGACGTTAGTATATGTATTATTTTGACCAAACGTATGTGACTCTTTAAGTCATAAGCCAAACATGTTTTTTCATTTTACAAAAACCTAGTCACAGGTCTTCTCTGTGAAGCCAAATTTGAATATTTATACCTATTCCAGGTCTTTATGCAGCTGAATCCCCACTTTCCCCCAAAATAAAGTATCAGCATTTCACCTTACAGAAAGAGAAACTGTGCCTAATGGAAACTGTGAGATGTAATTTTGTATGGACTAATTACTAACTGCCAAAAATAATCTCCATTTAAAAACATATTACCTATGTGCTTAAAGTGTATCAGGTGGAAATTAATGAGAAAACAACTATAACTGGCTACTTAATGTCAATGAGGCATATATTTAAAATTACCTAAGAATATCAGGGACTAATGCTAGAGAGTTTATTATAATCAGATTAAAGTCATTGTTTTTTTGTTTTTTTTTTTTGAGACGGAGTTTCGCTTATTACCCAGGCTGGAGTGCAATGGCGCAATCTCGGCTCACCGCAACCTCCGCCTCCTGGGTTCAGGCAATTCTCCTGCCTCAGCCTCCTTAGTAGCTGGGATTACAGGCATGCGCCACCATGCCCAGCTAATGTTTTGTATTTTTAGTAGAGACGGGGTTTCACCATGTTGACCAGGATGGT